TACGAATGTTTGCTATCGCTGATTCTCGTTTATCATCGTCGACTTAAATCGCGTTAGCCAATAACGGAATTAAATAAGTCGAATAACGAGAATTGACTTGAGAATACATATATTTCGTACATGAAGCGAATGAAGCACAGCAAAGCAAAAATGACACGTATGGAAGATGGCTGGGAAGCCAACTCCATTTTAGTCAAGTGTTATTCCATATTTATAGGCAGACAAAATAAGCTACAGACATACAATGAATCATGTGACATGAAATGTACACTCATATACGCTCATATAAAAAAACAGTCAAGACTGACAAGCGAATAATTGACAAGGTCAAAATATGGCTCAAGTAAAATGAATAAAATAGGATGTCCGGAAGTTAGAATAAGGTACATGGGCTTGCCATAATAACTGACACTACAATGGTCACAAACAACGGAAAAGTGTGTTTTTGGTACTATTAAACAAAATGATGCAGTAAAGCAACCACTGGTACAGTTGATGATGATAATAAATGCTTCCATCACACCAACTGCGTTCTCTTCATAAAAGTAGATCACTATAAGCTAAATAATTTTGTACAGGTAAAAGTTCATTCATTCTTCACATATCCCTAGTTTCTTTAAACAATGAATATCAATTGTATGTAAAGCCTTAAATTGTTTATTTCTACTATGAACGTGTCATAAAACATTAAGACTGTATGTGTAGGTTTATTTTAACGGACAATTAAACAGAGAGTTCATATTTAGAGGGATAATCTTTATTGCATTTTCAAAAGCAATCATACATACTTCTACAGTTTTCATCCAAACAAGCACCTTTCAGAATGACTCTGATTAGTCAGAGAGTAGAAACCAGTTTTATATTGATGTCGCGTTTTTCAGTGACATAACTCTGTCGTTAAGACTGAAACCAAGCCACTAAACCAAGTTTTTTATGATGTAGCATTTGATGGCTGAAGGTAGTCAACAGGAAGTCTTTAGTTTGTCGTTAGAGTTAGCTGATGCTCACTCAAACTTTGTTACCGCATTCTAATGCTTTCGGTGAAATTCAAATATCCACATTAACCAATAAACTGCTTCTTTCAATTCAAAACGAAATTGGAAAAATTTAATCTTCTGATATAAGCTATTTATATAACACGAAATTGGAAAGAACAGACTGTTTTGATTCTTATTAGTTCCAATTATTGTGTGACATAAAAACAAGACCAAGCTTTAGTTGTAATGCACACTTTCTACAATCCATTTTGATGAGTAATTGTGCAGACGTAGTGATAATTAGTACTAGCCACGATGAGATTAGTAATCGTAATTCTGTGGCATTTATACTAACTAGGGGTTCCTTCCTACTTCAGTGGGCGCTTGTTACAAATTACATATATATTACATCCAAATGTGTTCATCCAGTTCTGCCTACTTTAAATTGCACTATTTCGGTAATTTTTAGTTAACACATTAATTAATTCAAAAATTTTAATTATTATACAAGGTTAGTCTTTTATTGATACTTTTGGGGACCTTGAGTACTTGATAACACTGTGTTCTGCCCAATCACCATCCATTATTATCGCTGCCTATCAATACTGTGTTCCGTTTCAACTGTGTTTTATTATCAATGAATGTGGTTTTCTACTTTTCATGTTGATGGAAAGAGTTGATATTAACTGATTTTGAATCCATTTAGCCACATGTTTCATAACACTTGATTACAATGCTTAACTAATCCTCCCTATTTACGAGTGTTCGCGCAAATTCATCATGTTTTTCTGATCGACTCCATCTTTTCATTCCTTTGTCAAAATTCGCAAAAGCGAATAGTGTGATATTCAGTAGTATTTGAATTATAGTGTGAACTAGAAATCTGAGAAATAATGTAATCGAATCAAGATAACCACAAACGAATGTACTGAATTTAGAATTCGAAATCAAGCACTCAACAAGTACAAAGGTATCATTAGTTCATTGAAACACCACATGTTTCTCAAATTGTCATCGCCCTTACACTGACTTGTAGTATTAATTGAAACAGTAAGTCATCGTTCTAGACAAGAAAAGGAAGCAAGTGTTAGTCATCCCTAGCAAATATCTGCTGAATAAGCAATTGTTTTTCCGGCAAATTCATTTTCAAAGCTGTACAATCGCAAATATATAAAATTATTTTTCAGGACGATAGTAATCATTACAATAATAATGATAATAAACTTCCGTTAAACATGATGACAGTGAGGTAAAATAGAAAAAGGTATAAAAAAATTTTAAACAAGAAAAACCTAATGATCGTTTGATTGGTAATGGCTTAAATATCCATCAAAGGAAAATTATCATTGGGACAAGATGGTTCAACAAGATAAAATGTTGAAATTGAGGTTAAATGCAATCAGGAGGATCGTAGAAGCAGAATTAAACCAGTTGCGGACAATTTAAGAGGAAGCAGATTGCTGTAAAGGAAGAAGAGTATGAAGAAAGAAAAATAATAATGCGGCATTAAGACCATGGTAGAAGATGAGATTGAACCAATTTCTTCTGCACGCACAATCCTGTTTATTTTCAGATGCATGGCTATTGCTATGGCAATACATAGAAGATGCAATCTAGTTGTCTTTGGAAACTTATTTACCTTGTGGATAACTGTGGACGCAGTCTGTCTTACTTCAGTAACCTGTGTTCACAAGGTGTCCGATTATTGAACTTCTTATTGAGCCGTTTCCTTCTCTTTTTAGCCAAGCCGGATAATGTTCTTGAATTCTTTCGGATAAAGTACGCATCAAATAACCTGATTCCACACGAGCAGGTACTATGGTAAATGCACATTGAGTCAGTAAGATGACATAATTTATCCCTAAGATTACTGATGAACAATGACTAGCTAGAAAATACTAATCGCAATGTTGCTGCGAAGAACGTTCTTTTTAAGGAATCAGAAATCTTCCTCTTTAAGAAGCTTGCAAATCTATCACTCTTAACGTCCATATTCATGTATGATGTTCTCCTTTTGACTGAAATTGTTTGTATTTTTGGTGGTTTCAGTTTTATGTTCTTATCAATCAATATCAAAGGATACCCGTTTTCAATGAGCATTTGCTTCAAGAAGCTCAGTTCTTCATCTATAAGTTCGGAACTGTAAATTCTTTGTATTCTTGTAGATAGTGATTATATTAAGTTTCTATTTCGACTATTGGGGACGCAGCTGTAGAAACGTGATAGTTGACTATTCCACATGAGTTTCCTTTAGATAGATTTTCTAAGAGTTCCATCTTGTTTTCTTGTCATTTCCACATTAAGTAAGTGAATATTCAGTTTGTTTTCAGTTTCAAGTGTGAAAGTTATTGCTTGGTGATAATTACTTAATGTCTTTGGAAGATAACTTGAGTCATATTTGTTGTTACAAATGATAAAGATACCATCTACGCACCTATAATCGTTTTAAGTTGTTTGTTTTCTAAACTGACCATGAAGTTGTAACGTGGTGTCGAGTTGAGATTAACTATGAACACCGCTACCAGGAAATACGTGTCAAGTAGATCAGAAGGCGAAGGTTGAACGTAACCAAATAAATCCATAAAATTCCCGAGAAGTCAAATATCAGAAGACACTTAATGGACCAAATCGAGATATATTCGCTGGCGATCTCGTGGTATCGAAAGGATACCAAGATCGTGCCAGGATACAAGCTTGGTTACATAATGTAACCGAATTCGCGCGAAGTCACAATCAAAGTGTAAGAATCAGAATGGAAGCACAATATAGCTGTCATTAGCACATTAAAACAAAGACTGGTACAGTTGGTTATAATAATAATTGTTTTTATTAAACCAGTCGTGTTCTCGTGATAACTGTGAGTCACTACAAAGTTATCCTCTAATAATGGACAAAGTGGGGATCATGTTGCTATGCCATACTTCTGTCATGAATTACGTCGACGAATGTAAAGTGTACATAGTAAGAGTTCCTTAAAATAAAGTCATGGCATTCTGTCGTTAATCTCACTACTATTTACGTACTTGCAAAAAAACTAATGGTCTCTGTGAGTGGAACATTAGTGAATAGTGACTCGGCATCCAAAGATAGCATAATTTTGTCATTTACATTCACATGCTTAGTGAAATGTGACTTAGCCTAGACCATAAACGGACTTAAAGATTAACAGGGTGAATTTAAGGTTAAGATAAATTGTTTGTGTGCACATAACTGGTGTCTAAATTTACGAATAACGAATGCCTAGTAGTGTGATAACTGTAGATATCCAGGATTCCTACTGTCCTGTGACAAACCCAATCACTCAAACGTCAAGATATATATGTCCACAAATAACTAATAAGCCAACTAGAATTACTGCGTCCGAGTGGCTGGGCTACCATCCATGGGGCATTATCAAATGTCTGAAAATTACCAGAACAATAAGAAGAGAGCGCGAAATCAGTCGTCACAAGTTGTTAGACATTGGATATTGGACTATATAAGCGCAGGTTTTGTCACTGTCGTTACAGTCCCGTAAGCTGAGGTTTTGCGTTTTGTCTAGTAAGCTGAAGTTGATGTCTGTAATATATATCCACACGCGTTTAAAAACTGTAAATTTTCCATACTTACTAAAAACCTGGATTGAACCTTTCGAGAATTTCTCACTATTCAGAAGTAAGTTGGACTATAGCTAGCTGATATTTATCGCTTCCAAACATCTCTGTAATATAACTCAGGCATATTCCATACCGAAAACTTCCAGTTATGCAACTAGTAAGGGTCTTCGTCTAGTTCCTTCCGCAGGTTTATCACTGCGCATCATATTTTCCCCGATTGCACCTGGTTTTTCTATGATGGGAAATCTAATATTTATTTAGCTAAAATATCCTTAGAATTTTTAGAACTACTACAAAATTGTGGTCCAGTTATTTCTATTGTCATGTTTGTTGGCTTGTCATAAAAGTCTATTTTACACACGTTTGTTTCCAGAGTTTGCTAATGTGAATTTCGTCTCGTCGTTAGTGATGCTGATTATTGCATAAAATGGAACAAGTACGCCATGGACAAGGGTCGTGGGCTCAATTTGATGACGATGATAATTCTATGGTTAGAAAACCCTTATCAATTCCTATTTGTACTTCTCACTGTAAGTATTATCCAGCCTACATTAAATATTATTGTATGACTTCATGAACTTTCTCCTATACTATCTTCATAATACGGAGTTATGATCAGACCCTTTTTCACAGGAGGTAATGATTCAAACTGCCCCTAACTCCATGTAGTTTTTGAATGACCTAGTCAAGGTTCAGCATTTCACTTCGAATGTTCATTCTTTATGTTTAGTCGACTTTGATTACATTACCTCTCAATCTTGTGTCAATATTCATACTAGCTAATTGGAAAAAAAGAGTGAATAGCGAAAATATTCGGACGTGTAAAAGTGTCTGGCCAAAATAAGCAATATCAGCAAACTATTGTTGGAACTACGTTCTCTGAGCTGGATATTTTCATCTCTAAGTTGATTATCCTTCTGGACAAAATGATCAGCATCAACTCTGGGTAGAAGTGAGTTCTCTATTATGGAGGACAAGATTTAATCGATTGTGAAGAAATCTGAATAGCTCTATTCTGTCCTAAGTTTGTCCTGATGTCCAGAAACATAGTGATGTCTTCACGATTAAACCAGTTAGCTCAGAGAATGCGACTTCACCCAAAATATCCTCCTGGGCTAAAAAGCTTCTCCATCTTCCTAACATGGATAATTTGAATGCATGAAACTACCATTGCCACAGTCCATGGGTGAACTTTGTGTAAACACCATTATGGTCTATACTGCTATTCAAATTCTAAATATACTGTAGTGATAACTTTCTTATCACCCTCAACATCCGTCTAATCTTTCTAAGAGATCTAAATGCATTGGTCCTTCAGTCTTACATCTGCATAATGATGCTTCGCCGACTCCATAAACCTTTGTTAGCTATCACCATTATTGGCACTGGGACTTCAGTTTGAACCTCTGTAACTTATTTTAATGACAACAGTCATATCAATATCTTTATACGGCTTTTAGAAATCCAAGAAGATACGCTAGCGAAACACTGTTGATTATATTGGGAAACTAGTCAATTTCGAGTAGAGGTCATCTGTTTATTTTGATTTTTGTTTGACTATCGACGTAACAGAGATAGTACTACCACATAGATTGCAATTCTGTGAATCTCAAGTGCTAAAAAATATAACTTAGTCACCTGTTATATTCACGCCTGTATTAAATTTCTAACCTACCTCTGCCTCGGATGTATTTATCCAAGCATTTGACTCATTTCGGAATTAGGTGTCAGTGGTTTATTTCTTTTAAAAACCAGTGGACTTCCTCGTTTACTTAGTATGAATTTATACTTAGATCTACCAAACTGTGGTAGTTCTGTTTGTATACTTTACCTTTAATCAGTGGGTCATGATTTCGTGCAATGTTTCGCGTAATAAGGCTGGAATGACTCGATAGTGTTATTAACCTTCTCACTATGCGTATCATTCATAACCAGGTACATCGCTGTACACTCTATATATCTCTCTATATTTATGTCCCCTACAAAACGCGGTTTTAGATAATTTCCGCGACTCATTAATGTGGTGATAGTAGCAATAGAATGAAAGTTGGGGATTTTATAATATCATAGCTTCTGAAGCAAATAGTTTAGAGGCAAAGTGTGAAACGTAACTTCGGAATTTTATAGAATCTATAAAGGATAGCACAATCTGAGTTGAATAAAGGGTTCTAGACAGACAGAGTAAGTTAACTAGTAAGGTTTTAACCTTGTACCCATTGGAGGTTCTAGGTAATATAATGCAGAAATCAAGTTATTTTCTGCCTTGATGTGTGCAATTTTAGCAGAGATGAGGTTAGATTGAAAAAAACACTAATCTAAGTGAAAATAAACTGTACTTTCACTTCTACATTCATCCTTCGTTTAAGCTGATTTTTTACATGTTGAACTCACTACAAGTAATTCTGATCAGCTGAACAATTGTTAACATGTATTTTTTAAAAGGAATATCACAAGGGAAAGTACTATATTCTTTAACTAACCCAAACCTTGATTCTCCTATTTATTTACTAAATGTTTTTATGTTCACTTCAAAACTGGGATCCTGAGAGTTCGGTTTCATACTATGTCATATGCATGACTTACTTGTGGAGCTTAATATAAAATAAAACAGTATTTTAGTTACACATTTTTCAACGAACTTCTTGTATAACATCGGTCGATAATGAAAATTGTCACATTAACTTAAATGTCGTAAGCCACTTAACTAAGCAAAAGAAACTGAACATTACTTTTTATTCAGATTCTCTACTGTGTGGCGCATATATATCTGGTGCCCCTTTGTACCAATATTTATTTGTTCAAATAAATAATAAATGAAGATTCTCTACTAAAACAATAATGTTTATATTTGGTGAAGTACTACATGTGACATAAACGTAGTTAACAACATAATCGCTTCACTTCAAGCCGCACAGTCTGCTTGAAAAATGATAATGCTAACTGTCTCCTCAAATTAAAGTAAGTGAAGTGGTACTTGAACCCATCAAAACATTTAAACCAAACTAAATTGGTTGCGAATATTGTAGTGCATTATGACATTTTTTTCACTTCCATGCAACTTTATTATCGGCATTTTAAATATTGTTTGTTCCCATTCTTTTTATTTAGCTTATTTCTCTACAGAAGCATCATCTTTCATTAATCAACAACAAACAATGAATCCACACTTTCCTAACTTGGGATCAATCAATCAGAATTTAGTGTTTCCTTCCTCTTTGAGTCAATCAAATGAATTACTTATGCTTAAGAATCCTTCAGATCCTACATCATCACCATTTGCTGCAGCTCATCACCGGTCACCAAGATCAATAAGTGTATGAGACACATCGTTGTTTTGTTAATTTTTTGAATTGTGTAACTATTGTACTCGTATGTCTGCTATTATTTAAAAAATAAGGGATAAATAGGAAATTTGTTTCGAAAAACATTGAATTCAAATATCTATGTGAAGCAGTGACTGAGTGTTTTAAGTTAAGTACACAAACTTGTGGTTCAGGATTTTCCATCAACTACCTCTAACCACCGAATACAAATTATTTTTAATTTTGATCAAAATTCTAATCTTCGTTGTCTATGATTATTATTAGATAAAGTCTTGTGATGATCTCTGTGATGTTATTTTTATATTGAATGATAGTAAAGGTTGAACATAATAATGAATTTGAACCTTTCCCAAAGATTATATAGTCGCTTTCTTTCCGACGACTTTCACGAACCGAAAACTTTCTGTTGGCTCATCGTGTATCCTATTCACTACTTTTTTCAAATATCTAAAGTTAAATACATTATGCTACAATCTCCTGTGACAGTTTTACATTATTAGATTAATGTGTGGTCGACTGTAAATGTACACGTTTATGTAATTTGATCACTGCTTAGGAGACAACAATACTACCTGTCTAAACTGAATTAAATGGTACCGAACTTGAATTTTTCACCTCAGTTAGTCGTAATCAGCATACACCTTAACACTTATATGCATCGGTCCAACTTGCTGCACCATACCAATACAGCGAGACGAAATTATCTGAACAAATCTCGGTGTAGTAGTAGACGTAGTAACCGTTCCAATAAGAGTAGAGGAGATTGAGTATGGACTATATAATTCCAGAAAAAGCATGAATTCGTGAAGCATAAGCGTACAAAATAACTACGAGACTCAGGAGTTAAAGGGAAAACTAAGGGCGAATGCATTCGCATCATTGCGACCGATTCATGTCATCACCAACGTTTCCAACCTTTAATGACGACTTTACTGGTTTCTGAACATTTATCTCCACAGTTCTACATTATTACGGTAACATACATGTACCTTTGTAACTCAATCTTTCTAAATGATGTATACTGTCATTCTTGAAATATTTTGATATCCCTGTCGATATGAAACAAAATGTGTATTTTCTTTCACTAAGAATATTCAGATTGTCATAAGATTTGTGAGGATTGTAGCTAAACATTCCAACCGAAAAGCATATAGAGATGTGGTTGATATCATGCAGTAGTGTAGCTACATCACATTAATATCTATCGGCCCATTATGTCCTAAAAATTTCGTAGCCTAATGGTTTAATATGTTCTAAGATATGAATTAGAATAGAAGCCAATGGAGAGCATACCGTAGTTTTCTGTTATATTATTCATAACAGTTAAATGTATTTTTGACTAAACGGAATCCGCCTTGACTGTTTTCTCAACTAGATTGCACGATTTTTTATTTGTTGGTTTACTGTTTATGTGACGTCTCCCCCTTTTTCCTTGCAATACTATCATTTTTAATTGCGTTGCACAACTGCACCAAACATTTTTATGTTGTAAATAAAAATATTTTAGTATTATTGTAAACCGCACAATATTTACCATCCATAACTATTTGCCAAATATTACATTGCCTTGCATTTTCATCGGTCATTAGAAAACAGTGTATCATGGGAATTTAAATAGTCACTCGGATATGAATTCATCGCATTGTACAGAGATACAATTTCACAGTCATCAATTGAATAACTGGTCTAGTTTTAATCAACCAACCGCTCAATTCAAACAACAGTCCAATACTACAGATATTACTCCATTAGTTAATACTGCTAATACAACTACTACAAATTTCTCTCCCAGTTTAAATATTTCAAATGATGATTTTGCTGTAAGAAATCAACGTATTGTAGATCCATGGGCAGTTACATCTGATCAGAAAGCTTATTATTTATCACAGTTTCTCAGACTACAGCCAGATATTGGTTCAAAACTCAGTGGATTGCAATCGAAGACATTCTTTGAATTATCAAATTTACCGTCTTCAGAATTATCAAAAATTTGGTAAATATTGTCTTCAAGTTCGTGTATTTGTTTTTCATATCATTCATACATAAACCAGCTGAAATTATTCATGGGACGATTAAAAATTAGTTATAAAACTTCAGAAATGTATTTAGATTGGATAGATTGTGTAAATAACAGTAGGGACTAGGATTGGGGCGTTTCGTCCTATTTGGGGCTCATCAGTCAGATGTACATATATACCAAAGTTAATGTCATCACCGAGAATCAAAATAAGTGCTTTCCACTTAAATCGCCAACACGTCATCCACTAGGCTACTGAGTCCAGATATCCACCACATTATTTAATAAATATGATGTTTAGATCATTATTAGTAAGAGTTCGAATTATTTCTTTAGTGATATTTAGATATGAATTCTAATCATTCTGTTGGCTTATGAGCACCTTGTACAGGTTCCCTTGATATGGCCATTTTGTCACAACATTTTCTAGAATAGGTATATTATGGCCAATATCGGTATCCAGAACAGTTTTTATACTCAAATTATATACGTATCTACGTATATATTATAAACAGAACGTCAGAAATTTAATTTTGTTTACTTATTGCGATATTACTTGTGCACTTTTGAATAAACCCAATAGAGTCTATACAAGTCGATTTAACTAATCTATGCTAAACATTTTTACTTCCGATAAGTTCAAACACTTCATACCCTGTATATGTCTTGTTTCAGGTAAACTGATCTTGTACCGTTATGAGGCTGTAGATAGTAATAAGTAATATGTTTCACCAGATGATATATTTAAATACTTTAAGATTTGTACTTCCAAACAATTCTAAAACTTCGATATTTATTCGTCAATCAAATTTGTTTTGTGTATACTTTTTAAGGAATATTTATCAGATAATTATTTTATGGTATCAATTATATAGACATTGTAGTGCGCGTAATTCTAATTCAGTTGATTGATGCTAAAAATGTTAACCATATTGAATTATAAATCAGTGGTTTAAAGGTTAAACACCTACTACAAAACTTGAAGATTCTGGGTTTGATTTTTATGGGTCATGGATACTAATTGTTAAAGAACAAAATGCTGGGACGAAACAGCTGTCCATTGCTTTTTAATCTTGAGTGATTGTTTAACTAAAGTCGATCTATGAGATAAACTATGAAATTTAACAATTTACACAAACTGATTGTACCAATTCAATAATAATCGTTATTATTTTTCGCTATCCTTTAATACGTACAGTCAATTGAGTGTGTACTCAGTCATATTTTGTTATTTTGACGTTATAATGCAGTCTCTCTGATATTGTTCACAGCGTAAATTACGCAACATAATTATTGTTTTGTACTGAATACTATTAATCCGAAAATTCCACTATAAATAATCAGTCATTGTATTTCATCTTTAGGGAACTGTCTGATCTTGATCATGATGGACAATTAACATTGAGTGAATTTTGTATTGCAATGCATTTAGTTGTGTATCGATTAAATGGTGTTCCAATTCCTATTAATTTACCGACAGTTTTATTGGAATTAGTTGAAACTAATTGGTTATCTACAAAGTTGTCATCAACATCACCAACTGTAAAAGTAAATACCACCACTACTGCTACTACTACCAACGGTAGTTGTACTAATAATTACGAACTAACTAATTGTACATTGAATTCTACTTGTCAACAAAATCATATCAGTTCAGTCAGATATAAATCAATAGATATGCCTGATTCATGTCAACATCACGATAATCATCGTCTATCATTATTCTTATCCTCTTCATCACCAATTTCATCTGTGTCAACTTGTCAAGTTAAAACACTAACGACATCATCATCAATTCATGTCAATACATCTCGAACTGAAATGATTCAATCTACAAATTTTACAGAGTTGAAACACCCTCATCATGAACCAAATCAGCAACAACAAAGACGTTGGTCTTTATCTAGTCAAAGTGATGTTAGCAGTTTATTAGCATCAGAAGAAGGAATGATCTTATTCGAATCGAAATTAAATGCAAATGCACAAGTAAATAAGTTTATAAATTAGAATTATTTCTTTTTCAAAATTATATATATATATACTCGGGACTAGATAATATCCTCCGATTATAAAGGCTTAGATCGTTTAAAGATGATCATTATTACTGAATGGTAATTGGTATAAGTTGATATTAGAAGGGTGATTTATTAAGGTAGCGTAGGTATAAATGTTATTTAGATTTTTAAGTTTTAGCAACACAGTTTAGTATGACCTAAATGTGCAAATTCCAATGGTTTAGTATCCTGCGTAAATTGTCTAGTATAAATCTATTTCCGCAATTCTTCTACCATCTTGTGCTTTATTGTTGCATACTGTTCCGTGGATCTTCACAATAATATATCCGATTCTTAATTCATTTAAACTCTGTCCCTTTTTTCGAACAACAACTTAGTTATGACATCTGCGACCGGCACAAACGCTAATACAGTTTGTTTGATTCGTTAAAAATGAGCGCACATGAATTTAAATTAATGAAATAATTTCATTGAATTTCATACTAGGAATTGTATGAACCTGAGTAAACTAAGGTCATAAACTCCTGAGTGCTTCTTCAGTATACCAATAAGGATACTAGTCTAGCGGTTCCGAATTTCGAGTTGTCGAAAGATGAGAATTTGTTTCTTTTTACCTTGTCCATTATAATCTAGAATGGAATTTTCGTCTCTCATAGTTATCTCGTATTCAGACTGTAAAGTTATTGGTCTTTGGTGGTTTCCAACTATTGAGTCACAAGTTTGAACACACTCTGTCTAATGTAGTTTGAACGGTGTCGCTAGCCCTCACATTAAGGAATTTTAGCTTGAATCCACCAGTTATCTAAAAACATACTTGGTAACCAAGTTACAATAACTATGCCACTCTTTATCTCCTTTTTATCCTCCCAAATAAGGGATAAAATAAATAAATGAGCCAACTTATTCACCAATTACTTGGGTATGAATCCTACTTTAGATATAAGGGCTAATGATACTACCGGTTTGTCCATACCGGAGTGCGTGAAACAGAGTTAGGACATGAAACTGAGTAGTTGAAATTTGAGCACTTCAACCACTAAGTCATGATTTTTAATAAGTTTCTGTTTTTTTCATCTTGAAATTTTTTCTCTCTGTCTTTTACTTTCTGCCAGTTAAAACATCCTATCCCATTAAGAGCTAAAACATTACCATCAAATGTTATTCCTGAGCTGGTGAATTCAGTGATGAGTACACCTCAAGATTATTCTACCGTAGATCATCAAAATGATTTTTCGCATACATATCAACTTCCATATAGTAGCAATAATGATAATAAATTTTCTACTGCAATTAGTAATCCAATGATTGAATCAACCCCTCGGTTACAACCACAGCCGATTACAATTCATTCATCTCCTATATTATTCAGTAGTCAACATTCCGATCCGATAACATCTCCGTCGTCATCAGTAATACAGAAGGCTCCACCTCCTCCACCACCACCTAGAGCTAATTTGTTACTTGTCACTAATATTGATTGTGTTCATAATGATAATATGGGACAGAAATGTGGTGTTTCACTAATTGAAGAGAAAGAGGTTAGTTGTATACACCATATTATGCTTGTTTTGAACTAATTTTTTTAGCGTTTTTTGTGTATCGATAGTTCCTTATCACTATGTTCGTCGATCTGTCATGTTACCTTATGTAAAATGTAGGTTGGATAGAAGATAGCGGTGGCCGGAATAAAACATGTTATCATTCTATAAGTTCGTTGACTGTTGGACTGTTTGATATTAGTAGGTTGAGGACTACCTGATTACGATCCATGCAGTTATCATTATCTATGGTTGGAGAGATCGGGTGACTTTTCTTAGAGTTGATTACAATAAAACAGATACATTCACTCTTTGGTTTCTTTTAATATTTGAGTTCTATTATTTCTTACATATCATACCTTTTTATTACGTCATTTGGAACCATATTGTCAATATATAGGTTTTCTCAATATTATTTGTTAACTGACTAGTAACCCTATGTCATACTATCTTAGTTGAATATATTTTGCATAAATAAATCATTATTTCATTACCTTCACCCATCCGAAAATAAGCAATTAACAGAGTCTAGTTGGTTGGCAGTTCTATTCTCTAGAATAGATTCGATTGGAATATTTGAGATCGGTGCTATAAGCAAAATTGACAGCTTAGTCGAGGTTTTATGACCAGGTTAATTGATGAAGCAATTAGAAGATGAGCTGTACTAGATGAAAATAATTTTGATCGCAAAATGATGTAGAGGATCTGTAACTCAAGTGGATAGTTTCTGTAGTATTCACATTCTTTAAGGTAGATAGATTAGATTAATTGCGATGATTTTATTGTCGATATGAACAATTCATTATCATTAGCAGTTTGAATGTAAAAGTAAGACTTCAAATTATTTCACATGCATTAAGTTAGTTCGTTTTGGTGATCTTGTTTGTGACTGATTGTCTTCTCAGTTTTCATTATCTTCATGTCTCTTTGTGTCCTCGTCGACTATTTAATTCGACTTAACTCTGATCATGCTGACTTTCCCAGCATGGATTGATAAATCAGATCTATATCAGTGTATCAGTTGATTACGTATTGACATTAATCCTATACTTCTCGAATTTCTCCGACATTTTGGAGTTTTTCTATTCGATTGCTCTCTCTCCTACTACTTCTTATAACTGTTAGAAAACAACATGGCCTAGAACATAGAAAATCATTGACGGAAATCCCTCTCTCTCTCTCACTCGTTCATCTATCATCAACCTGAAATATTAACATTTAATTAAATCGGTACTTAGTCAGTTAGTCATAAGCAACGTAGAACCTGCCACATATGTGCATTGGTTTAATTTACCGCACTGTATCAGCACAACAAGTTGATTTCGACTACTGTTTAGAGATGTGTGGGTGGTTGTCACTTCCCAGCTACCCATTCCATAAAAGGATACTTCTTATCAAGGGATCCGTAAGAGGTACAGTTTTAGAATTAGTCTTTATAACTATGGGGCGTAATCACAGAACTCATAGTATAACTCCTTGTTCTTGATGTGCTAGCTTTGTAATTTAAAAGCTTTAGCTCCAGCGTTGAAATCCATGAGGCAAGGTAAAGTATACTATTTGTTTGGGACCAATCTTCTATAACCATCCCGTTCCGTTGTGAAAAGGCAACGTCGACGTTAGTGCTGGTTACCTAAGGTGAGCGTCTTACTACCATTACAGCGTAATACAGTTAGTTCTACGACTTTGCCCAGGGACCTTAAGTTGATTCTTTTAGCCATGTGCTATTCATTCTTTTGATGTTCGTCTCCAATTCTCGGCTTAATGTGTTCTTTGGTCTGCCCCTTTTCCTTATGCCTTAAGGATTTCAAGCTAGGGCTTGGTGTGTGGTGCAATTTGATGATTTCTGAAATATGTGCCCTATCAACTTTTAGCACCTTTTCCTAATTTCCTCCTATTTAAAGGTTTGTTCTTCTCAACAGTAGATTGTTGCTGATGTTACCTGGTCACAACATACATTAATTAAGGTTAAAACATAGGGTATGGGAAATAGAAAAGAAATATGTTAAACAGATGCTATTTTGTAGGAATTATCCTTAAATCATTTTACAATCTAACGTCTATCATTTTTCAAGAAGAAAAGAGATTTGTGACAATTGATAAACACAATATACACTGAGCTAAAACAACTGGATTTAGACCACAATCTAGAATTAGGACCACCACTACTACTATTAGTGTTCACACTACTAATACTAAGAGGTTTACTGCTTAGTTATACTTCCTCTATGGTTTAATGCAAAATAGACGAGTTGTATAGCTAATAATTAAATGTAGGACAAGTGTTTCATCTTCTTTGAGACTCATTCACTAGGTTAATCTACATACACCAATGTTGATACTCATATTCAAACTTGATCTCAGTATTTCTCCCTTCAAAGTTCACCGGATTGATCAGTCTATGTTAAGGTGGTAGTCTGTAAATAATGTATATATATGTCAACTAAAAATAATCAAAATTTCATCCTAAATATAAGCAACAGGATCGCTTCAACCCTAACTAATCATATAATGAGATACAATTGAGCAATTCACTTTCGTATAAAATAGTCAATCAGTCAGTCAGTCAGCTACAACATAGGACCAGGCACATATGTGCATCGGTCCAGGTTGCCATACCGCATCAGCACAACAAGATGAACACCGGATTCGTAGCAGTGGTTAGGTCAAAGGTAGTAATATATAAGAGAAAGATTGCATATAGAGATATAGTACAAGAAGAAAGAATTGGTTCGTAGAAAGAAAGATATGAAGCGATTTTAATCTCTTAGTTTAAGGGAAGACAGGGAGTGTATACACCGACGCCATTGTGATCGATTCTGAGCCATGTCACCAAGAGTCTCCAACCATTGGTTACCATAGTCACGCGGACCCCAACCAAGTAGTCTGCATCTACCAACATGGCTCAGACTAGAAGTTAGTGACTTCAAGCACTGATGCCACGTTTTGGTTTGGCCGCCCCTAACTTTCTTCCAACCATTTCCAATACCGGATAGCATTGCACGTCGTGGTAATCGGTGTTCAGGCATACGTAACACGTGGCCCAACCATCTCAGTCGATGAAGATTCATAACCTCATCAACTGATTTACCATCATTCCCTAATACCCTGCGTCTAACCTCACTATTACTTACCCGGTGATCCCAGCAGACGCCAGCAATATTTCTAAGGCATCTGTGGTCAAATACTAATAGCTTACGAGTGTCTTCTACTCTTAATGGCCATGTCTCGCTGCCGTAAATTAAAACAGAACGGACTGCCGCGCAGTATACCCGTCCTTTTATTGATAGACGGATATCTCGCCTTCGCCATAGGTGACGTAAGTTGGCAAAAGCCAATCGAGCTTTTCGAATCCGTGCTGAAATTTCGTCCGATACCAACCCATTAGGGCTGATCAGACTTCCAAGATAAGTGAAGTTGTCAACGCGTTCGACTACTTCACTCCCTATCCTTAGTTCATGTGTTAACGCAGACCAGTCCTGAAGCAACAACTTGCATTTAGAGGGAGAGAAGCACATTCTAAACATCCTGGCATTGTTGCTCAATGCTACCAGAAGACTCTGCATTTTGTCAGCGTCTTCACCAAACAGGACTATGTCATCTGCGTATTCTAAGTCGATAAGTGGACCTCCTGGATGGAGATCAATACCCGAGAACTCAGTCGATGAGAATGTTATTTCCATCAGTAGATCTATGATGAAGTTGAACAAAAATGGGGAAAGTGGACAGCCTTGAAGGACACCACTTGAGGTTGCAAAAGTAGATGACAGTTCGCCATAAGCTCTGACTCGACTAGTAGTGTTCGAGTAAAGAGCCTTCACAATGTTTATGTACTTCTGGGGTACGCCTTTCAATGACAGACACTGCCACAGAATCTCGCGGTCTACCGAGTCAAATGTTGCTTTTAAGTCGAGAAAGACCACCATTGTCGGACGTCGATAAGTATGCCTGTGTTCTAGAATCTGACGAATGGTGAATATGTGGTCGATGCAGCCACGACCAGGTCTAAAGCCAGCTTGGTTCTCTCGTGTTTGCAGTTCACGAGTCTTAGTTAGGCGTCTGATAATTATCGAGGCTAGTATTTTAGATATTATATTAGTTAAACTAATCCCTCTGTGGTTGTCACAGGATGATTTTGACCCTTTCTTATATATTGGGACGATAAGTGATTGTGACCAGTTAGATGGAATAACGTCTAACTCCCAGATTTTAGCTAAAATATTAGTCAACCTAATCGCTAAAATTGGCCCACCATCCTTAAAGACCTCTGGAGCCAGTCCATCTGGACCAGCTGCCCTTCCTCGTTTCAGATTAACTATAGCCTTTTGAACTTCAGCAAGAGTTGGGGGACCTACTTCAATGTTCCATTCACACTGTCTGGGAATGGAGGGTAGTTGTAGAGTAGCTGAAGGCCAGCTGAACTGTTCTCTGAAATGTTCCGCCCATCGTTCAAAACGTCTGGACTGGGAGCAGATGAGTGTATCGTCTTTTTCCGATATAATCTCACTTACACTTGACTTATTAATTCCAGTTTCTTTTATTAGTCTGTAAAGCTGTCTTGCGTTCCCTATAGTCGCCGCCTTTTCCATCTCTTTTGCTTTCGTTGCCCACCACTTCTCACGGTCGTTTCTTAGATTTTTTCTTAACCTAGATCTGATTTGTTTTCGCTCTTCCTCATGTTCGGAACCTGATGGGACGAGTTTGCGAGAATCCATCACTGTGATAGACTTTGAAGAAATCCACTGGTTCTTTGTAACTCTGTGGTTTAAGTCACTAATAGATTTCATTGCTGTTTCCACAGCTGTTTGTATATTTTTCCAAGCAACATCTGGGTCAGCCTCGTCTTCAGAACTACCTAATCGTGACCTCAGTTGTTCCTGGAACCTACTTTTGGTTTCCTCGCTACTCAGTTCGGTTCTAATGGGTCTTTTTACTGTGGCTTTTTTGCGTCCAGTGAGGCGCAAGCAGATGCGTGCCCGTATTAGGGCGTGGTCGGAGTCCAAGCAGGTACTCCAGAATGAGTGACAATCTTGTACCGACCCTCTCCAACGATGACTGATGGCAATATGGTCTATTTGAGTCCATCGTTGGCTTGGTGCAGGCGGTCGCCATGTTAGACGATGTCTCTCCTTATGCTTAAAATTTGTGTTTGCTAAAAATAAGCGATTGTCTGAGCACAGTTGCAGCAGACGGTCACCATTATCTGTTCGCTGTGCCGGAATGCTAAAATATCCACCTAAATGCCTTTCTGTTTGGTTTAAGCTACCTATCTGAGCATTAAAGTCACCCGCTATGAGTACTATGTCTGAGCGTTTAGCTTTCTGAAGAAGTTCAGAAAGCTTTCTGTAAAATTCATCTTTCACTTCATCTGAGCTGCAGTCAGTGGGAGCGTAGGCAGAAACGACGAAAAGGCAACGACGTGTGTCCCTATCCTTCCGAGTTCTTACGGAGCCGTTTAGCCGAACAGCACATAGACGACTGTTGACGGGGATCCACTCTGGCAGTGCTTGTTCCGCCCTCATGCTTAGTGCTATGCCTACTCCTGCCAGTCCACGAGAACTGGCCATCGGGTCACCAGATACTCGAAGGGTGTATCTCGTTGGCTCTCCGTTTTGCCGAGGTGAGGTCAAGTGAATGACCACACTGGAATCCTGTATGCGTGTTTCGGAGACACAGCATACATCAATGGAAAGAGACTCTAGGGTTTTAGCCAAGGAAGCCTGCTGACCGATTTGACATAGAGTGCGTACGTTGAAAGCTCCAATGTGTAGTTTGGAGCGAGGTTTCAGTAGACTGGGGACAGTGTTTTGAGCACTAGAATCGTTGGCTATGGTGACACTTTCCGGTTGCCCACACCGTGGAAGGGTTGTTCTGGAGGTACCTGAAAAGAAAATTGGATTAGAGGCGGTCTCAGTGACCTGAGAGCGTGACCGCAGTGCCCAAGGGACAACTGCTTGAGGCCAGTCGCGCACGGCCTTTTCGTGGGAGGTTTTTGACGTGTTAGCTCCGTTCTTCAAAGGGCCTTACCGCCGGAGACGGAAATCCGTGAGGTAAGGTGAGGTGCGCATTTTTAGGGTCGACCTTTTCTAACCCCACCCCTCCTTGTGGGAAGGCAGCATCGCTGTCATGCTGGTTGTCTGAAGGAAACACCTTACTGCTGTCACACCTCTGTACAGTCAGCAGTACGACTTCGCCTTCGGACCTTGGGTTTGTTGCTTTTAGTCTTACCGCTCTTCAACCGACCTGTCTGACATGGTAGGACCTTGAGGAACGGTTGTTCCAGCCAGTATAGCTCGGTTGCTTCATCACGATAGGCAAGCCCGACCACCACGTCAAGGTAGCAACAACGGTCGGGAATAGTCAATAGTCAATCGACATGCAGCAAATGTTTAAGGGTGAAATAACTAATAATTAAGACGTATTTTCATACGACTTTCTGAATTTCACTGATTATTTAATAAGAAGTGTTAAACTGTTCATGCAAAGTAGACAGTAAGGTACAATTTTCGTGAATAGGTGTATGTATGGAAAACTCTATTCAAAGAATCTATTCCTATGTGATTGATGCATATATATATATATATATATATATATATATATATATATATATATATATATATATAAATACAGTCCTCTAACACTTTCAAATTTTACTTGTCTTAATATTAACCCACTAAGAGAGTTCAAAATTCATATCATTGTTAGTACAGATTGTTTAATCCAGTTTAATTATTAATTCATTATTATTTTTTCTTCTATATGTATGTATCTTAGTAACAAAAATGTTTATATCTGTTTCGTAGTGTTGATTGGCTAAAACTCTGAACCAATTGTAGAATTGAACTATTATCTAGGAATTTGCTTATCTCTGTTGATTTTGTTTGTTTTTGTAGTTTAAGCGGGTTCATTCCACCATTGTTTGTCACCTGCAAAAGACTACTAACAATGGTGTATTTCCCAGTCTAAAGTATGCTTAACAATATTCACACTCAACTTTTATTTGTAGGTTAATAGGGTATGTTTATAAATACCTTGAAATCACCGCAAGCGTTTATGTTACGGTAAACGATTCAACATTTATTATGAGTAACCTGTCAGTTCAATTAATTACCATCACCTAATTTTTCTTTCATTGTTATTCTCCTATGTACAGGACTTTGTTCCATCTCTTACAACAGAATTCAACTCAGAAGAAATGAAGTAAGTTTTTTCTTGTACTTAAATTATAATGATAATTCGATAATTACTATTACTGTATTGTGTCTTGAAATCAGTTGACCATTATCGTGTGCTAGATCACCAATCATAATCCTAGTTTTAATTTGGTTGGTTATTTACTCTATAGCTTTAGTGTCTATAATTCAGCTAATTGCACGCCCGCTCAGAACCATTGGCACTGAGCTGACAGCTGGTTTCTCATTGACCCACTATTCGCCAGCTCCTTTTTATGCTCAGCCTTTGAATGCAGAATTAGCAACCAAATTCAACTATATTTATAATTCAAACAAAAGTGGTTTATATACAGACATACTGAACCTCATCAGACCACCGAAAGGTGGCTGTGAATGGGGGGGGGGACTGTAAATAGGAATAGTGATTCCTATGACAGTAATATGTGAGTAATGAATAATTATAATTCGAGAAACCAGTTTCAACTTCTACAATATTCTTCCCGTTACAGCGTACTGAAATCATATCTTTGATATAAAAGCAGTCAATAAAAACACTTTCTCGTTTGGTACAATATTACCCGTTATATGCAATCTTAAAAAAAAACAGAATTACCATTCTTATTCTATGGATACAAAAAAACAATTTTTCGCTACCATTTTAAATATTCTGAACAGTATGGAAAAAACTATTTCAACTGCCTATGGTTTGAGGATAGCCATTCTTTCTCAGTGTTCAATAAAAGTGCAACATCTTGCATTTTCTCATTCTTCTAATGAATGAGTGCTGTATATAAGAGTACAGTTATCCACTGAGGACTTCATTTCAATCCTCTGACGTTATCTATATATCTCCACTTAAGTATAACTAAACTTGGCAGTGGAAAAGAAGCAAAAACAATGAAAGTTACAGCTTGAAATGGAAATCATACTCTTATAATTCATTGTTTACACTTTAAATGAATGAAAACACTACAGATCGTATATATATATATATTGAAAATTGAAAGACAGATGTGCTATAAATTGATGGACACGTATCTTATCACCTGATTGTAGGTATCATTATCAATGTTTGACTTGATAATTTCGAATAAATCGAGCATTGGATAGATTGTTATAAATAAATATAATATATTTGTAATATCTCAATGAGTAGAAAAATTAGATATTCTGATGTTTCGTGACTCAGTGTAAACCATTTCTTCAGAGTTTGCTCATACAAACTCGTATAACTCATATTCCGGATTGTGATTGACTGATTTCTAAGATATACTTTTACCGAAAAGAGTTTTACTCAAAAACTGATTAATCCATCTCTGTAAAAGGTATATGTTTCACCGATTATTTCTATATTATTTTTCTTATCTTCATAGATTAACAGAATCTCAACAACCATATATTACTTCATTAAATAATAGTAATAATGATAATAATAATGGTAATGATAATGTGGATATATTAAAACGTCAATGTGATTCTATTAGTCAAATCAATGAACAATTAACTACAACATTAATCAAATTACAACAAGATAGAATAGCATTGAAAATATTTCTGGAACGTTTAATGCCATTAGAAACAATTTAAGTGTTTATTTTCAATTTCAATAACAAGATCATTATCGTTTATCATTTACAAATCACTAATCTTAATTAGCTACATTGCTGACAATGTGATAACATACATACCAATGTACGCATATATAAGTCTATATATATACTATTCTATTCAATAAAAAGAATCTATTCAACCTTGTTACTCTCTCTCTCTCTCTCCTTCTCAATATTGCTTTATTTTTCTCTCTATATATACACATTTATTATGATCATGTATTCTATTATCTACTTTAATGATCAACTTTAAAGTGCCTAAAGTTTGTTGCATAATCTTTATCCTATCCTTTCATGTGTTAATTGAGTAATGAATACTATTTCTCATTCAATACAAATAACAAGTGTATTATTTACAATAATTACCAAGAAAGTAATCCTTTAAAAGCATTTTTCTTTCTACACTTCTATTTTGTGCACCATTTTGTTACTTATTATGTGGGTGTATGTGTTTTTACGTAAATTTATCCTTATCTGGTTGAGATTATGTTTTATTTTAACTGAAAAATACAATGTATGCTTAATGATTAGATCAACTCACTTTCCTATTGTTACTTATGTTTGCTTTTCATTAGGTATAATTCATTATCTATTTTGTTGCCGGTTTTTCTTCTCTTCAATTATTTTCTCTTTAAATGATTGGTTTTTGGTTCTTTCATGTTATAGTCTATTCTTCCTTTGTTGTTGTTGCAACTACACTGTTTTGTTTTATTCTCGTGAAATTGAGAGGAACAATTGTTTGCTTCTGTGCTAATGTATTACTGTATTGGAACTTGAACCAATACACATACATATATATATATATGCGCCAAGTTCAAATTCATTGTCCATTTTAGTAAGTGTATACCACGGACTGAGTGGTTTATGTGTAGTCTATTGTCTCGTCTATTTATTTACTTGATTTAAGAAAGAAATTTGTTATGTGTAGAATTATTTTCTGTTCCTGACGAATATGTGTAGTTGTTATTCATGTTTTACGTTGTGCGGTCATTCGATACCGATACGCATGCTTCCCCATACTCAAACGAGACCTAGTAAGTAAGTGAAAAGAATAAAGGATAACCAGGAAGCTGCACTAGACAAACCTAATTCAAATGTGTTCAACTCATTGGTATATACATATATGTCCCTCAAATTCTTAAGTGTTATAGCTCAAAGCCGCCAATCAGAAGCAGCGAATTATCCATCAGACCAAGGACGCGTAAAACACGTGCGAGTAGCCTAGAGTCCTGATTGGTCCTGCTTCCTGCCTAGCCCAGCCAGTTAAGTCCAGAACACCAGTTTCACCCTCTGCAATATGAATCCTGATATTTCAAACATACTGAGTTTATATACCAATCAAACAGACCACAACGTAGCATAATATAGAAAATAACATTTGTACAAAATTCGGCCAAATGTGGCTGTGAATGTGGGAGGCAGCGACCAATAATAGACAGGGCATAATTTAAGAATGGTAAAACGTATAATAACGGTTCATAGGTCAAAATAAAGTTTATAATAAGAGGAATATGAATAGTTTAATTATTTAACAATTATACGATAAAAATATACGTTTAGTATTGGTCCCTAAAAACGATCCCAAAGTTACCATCCATTATGTTTATCGGGACCTAACATTAAGCCAGACCTGGACAAATAGCATGAACGACGTTCGCTGACAACCGTCTTCTTTCAACTTGTCTCACCCACCATTTGGCCTCGATCAAGCATGTGCGCGGAAGCACATAACGTATCTGGACTCGCCATGAGTATCATAACAATAATTTTGTGGACTGGTATTGATAAAAATGTAAAATCTTTTCTGCATTGACGAAAATGAGGTTATTTTGTGGATTCGACTTCTTTATATCAAGCATATACTAGATTCCTTTTAGATAAAGTATTAGACACCAAACTATTGACTGTTACCAAGTAATCTACATTCGGTGCTATAATGAATAAGGTTCCTGCCAGAATCGATTCATCGAACACAGAACGTCCTGGAATTTTAGTGGGAAGCCATAATCGGTGGAGTTCAAATGTGGGATAGTGGTTACCCACCGAAAACGGTGAATGGTGGTCACGCAATATCGTATGGTGATTGAAGTTGAATCCCGGTTCAGTGGTCTACGGGGTAAACGTTCTCGTGAAACCGGTCCTGGTTTCAATCCTCGTCGACAAGTTTGTGCGTGTTGAAGAGTCGCATATCGGGCCGAAACCGCTGTTTACAACCCTCAGGTTTTCAATGAATAGGTCGCATAAGTGGGTTCATAATATCCAATCATTTCCACAAATCTCTATACAGAAAACTATGTAGGAATTTAAAATAAACAAGCATCATATATTTATCTATATTTTTATCATCACGTTTTTTCTTTAAAAAAAGGCAAATATAACTAGGAAAGCGATATTAGTAATTTACGTCGAGTAAAAAAAGTCAAAGGTTTGATAATACACTAAAAAATCATTTTAAAAAAACGAGAATATGTTCATATAAACAAAAGAAGAAAATCATGAGAAAAATTGAATTGTCATCCATTGAAATATAATCGTTGTACTGAAGTACGATGCTCCAATCGTAGTCATTGATATTTCTGATCCAATACAATAGAATTACATTCAATAACAAGTGTATGTATACATATATGTATATTACAGTTTATTTAATAGATCTCATAGAATATCATGTACAAAATATTTGTTGTATATTTCTAATCATAATGATATATTTTACTGTGCATTTGTCAACTTTGATCTAAACCTTTGACAGCTAATGCACCAGCCCATTGTTCAGAACCACAAGCTTTTCTCAAACGTAATCTGACTTTATTATTTTGTATCTATTAAAATGGAAATAAGTACGAGAGATGTATCATATTAAATACGAATATATTATTGATATCATTAGGGATAACTGCTAAGGTGCTTGTACTCTTCATATAATGATGGATTATTAGGGCGAAGCGAAAAGTTTGGATATCCGAGTAGTGATAATAGTAATAAGGAGATGAGGCTCCGTATGTAGAAAGCAGGAGTGAGCTATGTTAATCTAGGTCACCTTAGATGTCGTTGAAATAATTGTTTGATCATAAAGCGTGGGACGTTATGATTAGAGCACTTTGTCACTGCTTCTGTCAAGGAAAGATGTCGGATAGTTTTATATTCAATTATCACTCTCCAAAGAATTGTTCACATGTGATAATTAGTTCAGAAGAGATAGTGAAGATGGTAACCTTACAGGTGCAATCACCTTGAAACACTTAATTCAGTAGTTTGTTTTTATTTCATTGAGATAATGAACCGGTCTAAGTTAGACCACCATTGAAAACCTGGAGGCTGTACCGTCCAAGTACGGAATTCCTTAGCAGTGCCCATCCGCGACCCCTCACATGGAAATCAACCTCACGGTTTTAGAAAACCGATGCCATCTGAAATGCTATAAATACCCTAAATTTTTTGTACATTAACTAACCTTGGAGTAAGGCATTTTTCCATATTTCGTGCCTTTTCTCTCATATTTAAGTCGTCGTGTAGATTTAGTCTGAGGTTAATAGAAGAGCTTAAGGAAACCGATTCAAGTGTTCAGTCAGAAGATTTATCATTATTTTAAAACAATAAACAACTATAAACACAAGAACCTGTTCCAACTAATGAGTTGTCATTCTTTCAAACACTCACTTTACTATTTATCATAAATGTTTAGATTTTAGATTTGTTTTTAAAATTAATTAATTTTATCTACTAATCTCGTGTATTTACGCAATGTTATCAAATCTTTATGGTCTAATATCCGAGAAACTGAACAAGTACCACTTTAATGGTTGGCATATTTTCCTCTTCACCTATCCTTTGGAGAAAGAAGAAATAATTAACACAGACTTCATTCATCAAATACACATAATATTTACCTATGGAAAGAGGTATCATAGCAGTAGGACTAATTGTAAATAGATACAGACGAAGATAAATGATCGCTGATTATTATTTTAAAACTTCATATATATTTTTTTGTATATTTACAAGTCAAATACTTTTAGAAAGGAGGTGATTTATTACAATTTTGCATACTTAAACTACAGATTCGGAATACGACAACTATCCATCCTCAGTGTTCAATAAAAGTACAATATCTAGCATTTTCGTGTTCGTCTAATAAATGAGTGCTGTTTATAAGAGTACAGTTATCCACTGAGGACTTCATTTCAATCCTCTGACGTTATCTATATATCTCCACTTAAGTATAACTCAACTTGACAGTGGAAAAGAAGCAAAAACAATGAAAGTTACAGCTTAAAATGGAAATCATACTCTTATAATTCATTGTTTACACTTTAAATGAATGAAAACATACTACAGATCGTATATATATATATATTGAAAATTGAAAGACAGATGTGCTATAGATTGATGGACACGTATCTTATCACCTGATTGTAGATATCATTATCAATGTTTGACTTGATAATTTCGAATAAATCGAGCATTGGATAAATTGTTATAAATAAACATAATGTTTCAATGGTTAAGATCATGAGTCAGTTGAAGCTAAATCACCATGGAAAACCTGGAAGCACTGGATGGCCGTCCACAAAACCCAACTGATATTAATCAAAATATACTCACTAGTGACTGGCTTTAAGACGTATATCCTGGAGTTCTATTGAGAAGTAGTGACCAGTGAAGTTCAATCAGGTTTTTTGAGAGATAGTAAGTCACTGAAGATAATGGTGGATGTGTCACTCAATTTCGTGGATTAGTTGAAGTTAGACATTAACACCGCTGCATGCCGGCTCAGTAGTCTAGTAGTTAAGTGCTCGCGTGCGAAACCAGTAGATCCTGGGTTCGAATCCCGTGAGGCGGGGTCGTGGATGCGCACTGCTGAGTAGTCCCGCGATAGGACGAAACGGCCATCCAGTGCTTCCAGGTTTTCCATGATGGTTTAGCTTCAACTGACTCATGGTCTCAACCATTGAGATTACTATAATATCCACAAAACGCGTCTGATATTTGTAATATCTCAATGAGTAGAAAAATGAGATATTCTGACGTTTCGTGACTCAGTGTAAGCCACTTCTTCAGAAGTGTGGATTACTCGTTTCTAAGATATACTTTTACCAAAAAAGAAAATAACCACTTTAAATGAATGAAAACATGCTAGATATTATATATATATAATGAACATTAAAAGATGGATGCGTTACAAAATTATGGGCAAGTATCCTATCTTCAGAATTCTTTGCTATGTAATCAAACAGAGAGTATTTTGACTAGAGAGAATGTTACTATTATATTAATACATTAATTAAACGTTTAATAAAGGACACATTCCATGCATAAAAACTCACTTTAAATGTACAAAATGTTGGTATAATTTTCGATGGAAATTGACGTACAGTATATTCATAAGTATAATTAGGATTAGTTAATTCGCATAGAACATTTAATGAACTAAATGATTAAATAAATAAATAATGTAAATACATTATAGAATACAATACTAACAGAAAACATGATTATTAAAATCATACTCACTAGTAAAACGATGTTATATAATCATTGTTAAAATTAGAGGGATAGTAATAATGCAACTTAAATGAAGGGGAAGGGACGAGACCGATGTGCAGTGAGCCCAAGTTTGCAGTGGTGATCTAACTTAGACCAGTTCATGACTTTAATGAAATACTTATTAATACATCAGATTTATGTATTCAGTTATGAGCCACATGTCCAGTGTGAGCGCTAGTGGTATTAACAGGTTGCCCAAACTAAAGTATGTAGACTGAGATTCAGACACCCATGGCCACTCTATACTTTTAATCATTAAAATCACTGATCTACGATTACCGTTATTATGATTATGGTCAAAATTTCATTAAATAATAATAATAATGATGATAATAATAAACTAAGGACAGATAATATTAAAGTGAATAATAAGTAGATGCTAACTTACTATTCACCAAGCTCCACTTTTAACAATCCATTACCTAATTGTTGACGAATACTTGCAGATGTTGTATTGAAAGAATCACTGTGGAAATTCCCTGAACAACCGGGTTTAATAAGTCCACAAAATCCTCGACTAGGCGCCTGTAAACCCTGCATAACCAATGTAACTTGTACATCATTAGCATTTAATTCACTTGCTTCAATATATGGTTGTTTAGCCTTGGAAAATAGTAGTGAAAATTTAGAAGCATAAGATTACAATAAACACAGTAAAGATAAATTTAGCGAAAGCGATCATCTTTTTTTGAAGAGCACCAAAAGAAAACATACCATAACACCACAAACAATTAGGCGACAAATTGTAAGACGGGGAAGATTGAGGGGTAAACAAATAAACACACACAATGCAGAACATGGCACAACAAATCAGGAATCAGGAGATAAAAAGTATGGAATCTCATACTGAGTATAACATTTACAGGAAGGTACCGAGTAGATATATCTACGCCAATGTGAATAAGTTTTGTTTATTCGACCGTACATCGTAATCATTAGTAGTATAAAATAGGTGGATAAGAATAACAAGTGTTTAGGTGAATGCCTTCCGTAGTACTTTGTTCAGTGAGCTGTATAGTTTAATTGCAGAGGTCTCATTGTTATTCCGGACAATATCGTCACCCCCTACTTCATGTAGAAGTGGGTATTTCAGTAATTCCACAAGTATTATATTAATTCGTTCTGACCGGCCTTGTTTGTGATTTGTAGTCAACATGAATTTAGGAACAAATAAACACAAACAATCATGAATAAGGCCATCAGAATGCAATGACATAACATTTGTGGAATAACCGATGAGCTCACTCCTAAATGAAATGGAGGATAATGTTGTTGTCAAGATCGACAATGAAACTTCTAAAACTAAACTGCTTAACTTCGAGAACACAATGCTGCCAATTAATTTTTTTTGCCCTGAAGGTTCAAAGCAGAAATGTAAGCAGAGAAAACCTAGACCATGAACATCAGGAACTTCAAATCTAGTCATCGGGTAAATAGGAATAAAGTCACATCGATTAAAAAATCAACAGTAAGTTGAAACATTGATCAGTTACAATTATATGCTACTTTCGTTTAATGATGATAACTTACAGTGAAAATATCTAGAGAGGAAATAAATGATTCACATAAAAATAATCCATTCACATGTTAAGATTAATAATGGTTGTTCATGAGATAAAAGTCAGAGAAAATTAACTAAATTCTAATTAGGTGACTTAACCAAGATTAAGTAGATTGGGGATCAACTCGGAAACCTGTTCGATAAAAAGGCTTCTCTATAAAAGTACTTCAAAGTTTAACCGTTTATGAAGAAAATAATCAATATGGGACACAATAATAATGTGAGAATCAATCCTCAATAGTCAAAAATTTATTAATAAGGGTTTGAAATGAGCATCCTGGGTTCCACTGCTAGCTACAATCCATATATCCTGGTAAGAAAGACATGTAATGACATGGCTATACTGATGCAGTCCACACAAGATGTACGTACGCGAACGAAGACTGATTAAAAATTTCGTACCAATGGAATAATTTGAACCGTTACAAATAATGGTATAAACATAGCACCCATTGAACAAGTTAACAGGGATTTGGACTCAAAAGCTTAGCGGATAATGAGTTCGCGTTTGAAGTGAAAGGTACCGGGTTCGAATCTCAATGTGAACATCTAGTGAGACAGAGGTACATTTCAGTGAGGTCTCCTAAGTAAGATAAAAAGCACATGCTGAATTTTATCGATAGCTACAATCTATCTATTCCGAAAAAAATAAATCACTCTTAGTAAAAAAGTTATTTTCATTTCAAAATGTATGATTAATAGTTAAATCAATCACTGGTTCGAACCTTGCCCCAATTTTATACAAAATATCTGATTACTCTTAGCCGAATACATAAATTCACAGTATTTTTTAATTAGATATATCATAACAGTGGTCATATAAATGAAGAATCGATGGCGGCTTATTTGAATATCTGGACTACCTATTCCTATCATCTAGACATTTCAACAAGTTATTTGTTTTTTGTTTGTTAACAACCTTTCACTATACAAGTTACAAAAAAGTACAATTAGAGACATTGTGGTGGCTAGCAGCATGCATCGAAAAGAAATATACTTTATTCAGATATCGATACCTGAACTGCTAACTATCTAATTGGCGATCACTCAATATTTTTTGTCAGGATCGATCAAGAAATAAGAAATGGAAACTTGTTAAAATACTTTGTTCTGAGAATTCTATATTGTACCAAAAATATAATATTCAATAAACCCGTTAATAATAATTATTATTATTTTTGTTATACAAATTATTTATAAGACAGTCCATTTAAATTAGTCAACTTATACATTAAGTGATTGTAACATAATGAAATTGTTAATTAAAATAGATCAACGAATTAGAATAGTATGAATGGATTAATGAAAGTAGACTGGCTTAGCAGTTTTAGATTCTTTCCTTTTTGATGGAGTTTTGTAAAGATTAGGTTACTTTCTATTTGATGCTTGTTACGGATTGACATTAAATGGGATATTAATAAAAATCCGGGGTGAATATGACAGTTGTTTCATCCTCGTATGGTATTCATCAGTAATGCGAGGTCTAAAGAGCACTGGGTTAGATCCCTAGTGGATTCATGTATTTGGACTGGTAAGAACAATGAAACAACTGTTGAATCCACATTAATTTTTAATAGTACTCAAATTCATGTTGAAACGTAAAAAAAATGTTTGCAACTAACCAATGAACAAATTAACAACACTTGATCTGACAGTTTCACACTAGTACACCAATCAACCTGATATCAAACTGTGAAGACCACAATTTATATATAGATATTCTATCAGTGAATCTATATAGAGTTCAAACAAATTAATTTGTTGTTGAATTTCTTCTAATCTTCATTTTACAGGTGAATCAGAAAACTTTTATTTGCGTGAATCTATCTACTAGGTCAGTCACATTTTGTACAATATAAATTTTTATTCTAAAGAACTAAATCTAACACAGAGTAGTTAATTTACCAATCTGAAAATACATATTTTCCATTTGCATTATAACAGATAAAGGACTCCGCGATGTCAGACAAATAATGTAACTCAATAAAGTGATTAAGCATACAACTGTACTCGATCACTAAAAATAAATAAAATAGGCACAAAAAAAGCCAGAACCTGAAGTTCATTTAGTTTCAAATCAGATTTATTTTAATTGCTAAACAAACTCTCCCCTGATTAGACATAATAAGGATGGTACCTGTCTGTTAAAAATGCAAAATAGAATCTAAATATCAAATATTACCAACAAGTTTTTATTACAGTCAGATAGTGGCTAGCAGTGAACCCTAGGAAATGTGTTTCATCCTATCTATAGCTCGTCAGCTGAATGCATATGTATCTCAGTGCTGATGCTTACACCAAAACTTTGACCTAGTGACATTTGATTGAGCCCAGATAGTCGTTGAGTATGTGTATGTGTGTGTGAAACAGTCAACACCAGCAACGACAACGAACAAAGTTAATGATACAAGCGAACTACACTCAAAAAGGCATAAAATCAAGAAGTCACGAAAATTTCGTTGCCTCTTTTCTTTACAATAACGAATAATTGACTTTATTTCTCAAACGTATTACTACTATTAAATGCAATAAATTTACAATTCTGAATTTTACATACACATACATAGAAATACAAAATAAATACATTACAATGTTAATTGAATCTTATCCATCTTTTGTTTCTCTTTAGCATCATAGACATTCTTGTTTATCATAACCAGTCAGAGAAGTAAAATAGATAATCAGTCGAGTAAGATCACTGTAACTTTATTATACACGACATTCCATACTTCTATATGAATTTCTTTTTTCGCATATACATTAAATATTAAGTAATTTTATGTAATGAATTCTAGAGAGATTGTTGAATCCTGGAATATTTGTTTGAATTAGATTTGGATGTACACGAAGTTGATAATTAAGTATAGTTGGTGTCGTTGTATGATAATTCATGTTAGCAGTATATGATGAAGTATTTGTCAATGATAGATTATGGTTATTGTCAGGAATACCAGTTGACAGTAGTAATCTCCATGGTTGTTCAGGATTCATAAGATCAGAAGATAGAAACAAACCACATAGTTTAACCCTTCCATAACATCCATTATCGATATTCATGATTGATTTTCCATCATCATGATATACATGTGTGAACATGTCATTTGATACATCAAATGTTGATATATTCTGTTGGTAAACATCTATTGAACCATTGATTTGAATTAGTCCGATATATTTGGAAGTATTAGGAATATTTTCAGTTGACGTTTCTGGATAATTATGCGTAATGATTTGAACAATCTGTGTGAAGTGGGATAAGGAAAAAATAACAAATTGAATTTATGAAAACAAAATGTTATGAAAACGAATATGCCAAGAGGACATTTTGACCCGATCTATGATGATTCCTTAATTAAAGGATAAGTTACCGGGTCCTGTCACATTTATGTGTATCTACAAATCCAGGTGCTCCTGTGGAGGAAGCCATATCGGGCGCACTACCAAACAACTAAGCCAACGAGTTAATGAACATCCCTCTTCGAGGTTAGGAAAGGGTTTTGTTAAAACAATACACAGCTTTGTTCTATGATACTTGATAAATAGCGGTCATGTAGTGGACTATTTTAAGTTATTTATCGTATTCCTACTAGTTTTCCTTATGAGGTTCGATCTTGTCTCTTACACATGACAGAAGTTATAGGAATTCGAGCCAACAATCTAAGTCTTCGTATTTGTAAGAAATTTGTAACACCTTTATCTCTCTCTTGGCCTTAACAAATGATTTTATTTATTATCATTCTCTATACTCTTTCTTCATTTCTTTTTCTTTACCCCCTCCCACCTATTTTTCCCCTAGATATACGCTTCATTGTCTAATTATCTGGACACTTCTAATTACATGATCTTATAATCTTTTATGAAAGTTATTTCAGTGTCTATATTTTTCTAATCATTGACCTATTTCCCATTACGTAACATTGATTCAAGCGTTTATTATTCTTATCATAGCTAGTACGCCTGTCATCATACTATCAATTTGTACTTTTCAATTATTATGTTTATTTATGTAATCTATTCTATTGTTACCATTAACTCATAAACTGCCTTGATTAGTTTAATAATTTCGTATATGCATATAAATATTACTGTACATTAGAGTAAAGCCTAATGAGGATGTAATCAAAAAGAATATTGTTCGCTTATATACGTTGTTCTAATTCACTGTAGGTATATACACGAAGATGAGAGCCAATTTTTTGAACATTATGTTTCTAATCATCAATGTTAACAGTCAGTCAGTTACAAGCAACATATCATGCGGGACAGATGTGCATTAGTGCAAGTTACCAAACTATTAAAGCACGGTGGAATGGGATTATCAACACAAGTTTCAGAGTAATGAAAGTGGTAATATAGTGAACGAAGATTCATGTACGGTAAACCAATATAATATTGTATGCAAAATTGCGCAGTAACCTTTGTAAAATATGAAAATCATCACAGATTAAATACACAATTTGCACATATTCTTTCAGTAACCCTTTACATATTCCATCGTTCTTCTAATTCTATTGTTACTCTGACTGATTTCCGTTTTCCTTCCTGATCTCTTCATTTCAATCTTCTGCTGGTAAGCATTCAACTTCAAATTCCTACTACATACTACTAATATCGATCCACAGATGTAGCACACACGACAATAATAGTATCAATCATATTAAAAAAACATAAGGCATGGATGGTAATATGGTTCGAGAAGAACTCATGAAATAGAAAAACATAATTTTAAAATTCAAAAATCTGAAGGGAAACAAAGAATGAATGAATATGCACCATTGTGACTGATTTCGAGTCATGTCATTGTTGAGTCAGCTTTCCGAGAAATGCAACGGAGCCTCCGGAGGTCCTAAAGGAGCCGAAGAGTCCTAGACAATCAGAGCATGATGGAGCTTTCTAGAATATCAACGTGGCGTGTTACTATTGGTCAGTAGCATAATATGTGTTTTAGCGGATCGGCCAAAATATGATGTTGATTTAACAA